TCAGCATGCAGCTGTAAACTTTTAGAGGAAATTGTACATTTAAAGATTCGGTTGAAGGCGTGCCGTTTCGAGAAAGATAAAATATATTAACAGGCCCAACAAAATAAATAATAAAAATTAATGGAAACAAATAATGAACACAAAAAACAACAAAATTTTTGAGAATTAACTGATAATAACTAAAGCTGACAACGGGAAAACGCTAATGATATTAACGCAAGTTGAATATAGACACAAAATAAGGAACTTTATACAGGACAACCATTTTATAATGATTAACAAAAATCCAACCCAGCAATACCAGAAAATCGTAAAGAAACTTTAAAACAATGTAAGACGAAAGGTACGAAGGAATTAATTTGCATATGAAATAATTTAACCCAAAGCCATAGAAAAATACGATTCATAAATAACGCATTTGGACTGCACTTGTATTTTGTTTTGCGTACACATTTCCATTGTCGTTTAAGACCTGGTAAACTAGCAACAGACGTAAACGGCAGTTCATATGTAAATAACTTTGGTTCGGGTCATGACCTTCGACATTGTGCAATTAACCAAAGATATTTTCACATTACAATCGTTTGTGCTTTGCCTAAGTTACCGGAAGTAAGTGGATTGAAGTTGGCGGTTAGGTTCACAGTGTTGTGACGAATTTGTATACAAAAGGTACCTGAGGTTTAGTTATTTTCTAATTTCTTATTTTACTTCGACAATTGCCTGATGAATTGGAAGGACAGAGGAGACGATATGTCCTGGCATATTTATGGTGAGACCAAAGAAGATTTCCGGTTTCATGACCACATCAGTAGTTTAATTTCAGCGAGATAAACCAGTAGTATTCTTCATGTTTTCATTTTAAAATTCCTGTTTGTATATTATCATAAATATATGAAATTTTAAATCCCGTTTAGAGGTTTTCCCTGAACCATTGTACAGAGTTTAGTGGCCGGCTGCTGTTGTGATAAGAGTAACGAGCTCTCGGTTTCCCAAAAGTCAGTAATTTCTTGACCTGCTCTTCGCCTGTTAGTTAAAAAAAGAGACCCTGCACCGCTGAGTTATTTAATTATGGGTCATGAAACAAAGACGATCGAAGAAATCAATATTGTCACTCTTTCTTCCAGTATTAAAGTCAGATTTACTCGAGCGGCATGGTTGCTGGCTACGAGCTTGTCTGCTGGAACTAAATTCCTGCCAGGAATAGGAATGCAGTGAAACTGCTCTAAAAGATCAACCTTTTAGCCCTTCACAGACTGAATATCTTCCAAACAGTACGTACATAACATTTCAGTTCGTACTGCACAGGAAACATATTACGTCTCCGATACAAAGCCCAACCGGTTGATGCTGTTTATTATGAGACCCACACGAAACACACAAATACATTGTATGGTTAGAATGCAGAGTTTTAGTGTGTTGACGCAGGTGGTGGTAACCGCTGGGTCCTCAAAGGTCAAAATACCGTATTTGTGTGGCAAGGACAGCATTTTAGGCTGTTTTAGTGGAACGCAACGCCCCAGTCAGGGACCACTCCTATCCCCGAGCAGTGACCGTGCCTATCTTTACCACATCCTATCCAAGAAGACACTTTAGAAACACTATACACCATGAAGACGACACTCGATGTGTTAACTATTGATTTAGTGCCTTTATTTAACGAGTTACGGGGACAACGGTGAGAATGTAGCTGTAAAACAAGTTTAAAAACTGTAACCAAAATTACATTAGATTCATTTTTAAAGCCAACAGACAGGTAGTATATTGTATGTAGTATACATGTACTTGTCTATGTTTTTGTTTAATTATTAACACTCCACTGAAATGATTTATTGCATCTACTATTCATGTAAAGCAACATTTTTCCCTTTGGCGCTACAGCCACAATTTGGGCCTTCTCCTACCTCCATGAAACTCTCCGTTTCACTTCAGTTTATTAGATCTTAGGCCTTTGGTACGACACCTTGGGCGGATGATCAGCTCATCGCAAAGCCTCTACTTGTACACAGACACAGAAAAACGCACACACACAAACACAAACACTAACCATCCATGCTTTGAGTGGGATTCGAACCCACGATCCCGTCTTCCGAGGGAGCGAAGAAAGTGCATGCCTCAGACCGCTCGGCTACCGTGACCGGCTACTAAAGCAACATTAAGGGCACTATAAATTCATGCAGTGCGGTTTTTACTTAATACACACGTAAAATGTTCGCTATACTCTCCGATACCCCTCTCCCTGTTATTCAGAGACCAATCCTATAAAAGACCATTTACGGGCAGATCAGTCGGTGACCTTCAAGAAGTGTCAACTGTTTCTCTTCCCTGCCAGGTTTGGGACCCACCCAAGCTGTGACGGCCAAACCTACTCCACGGAAACGCGTAATTTTTCGACCCTTTTTGCAATTTTTTGACATTGCGTAAATAAAGGATGTAATGGCGCGAAACTTGACTACTTGGATACAAAAAACTCCGTGGCCTGTAGTCCGCAAGCGAACTATACCGACCGAGCGATCGCCGCTTGTCGGCGAAGTTAGTGCCAACTTTTGCGGATAGAGTTTGTCACGTGGTCAGCGAAACGGATCCCCACGGCCGTTAATCTCGGTTTTCTAGACCGGTGACTACTTGGATGGTAGATCTAATTTCAGAGTTTTATAAAACTCGGCCATTTCATATTGAATATATCAGGTAGGACGCAATGCAGCAAACAAGAGGAGGTTGGTGTAAAGGTAAAACTCATAAGACCAAGACCTCTGCATTTTGCACGGATCCGGTTGTGATCTCGGATATCCTGACTGAGATACTCTTCATGATTTTCTTCGCCTCTCCAAGCGACTGTTGCACCTGCTCTAGCTGGTTCGCTCTCGGATTTCTTGTCTTCTACCCTGAAGATTGAGGCGACACGTTCCTCCGAAACGTCGGTTAACACAATTTCTATACGGCGCCACATCCCAGAAGACGACTTTCTTCATAGTCACCGCCGTGAAAACCTCAAATCTTACGAATGTTGGGTTGTTTTTAAATGAACCACGACCGCCTGTCTATACATCCTTAGCCACCTTCCGTTCATAATTCTACCGTCACATTTGATGGTGTTGGATTGTTAAGTAACCCACAAAACAAAACAACGCAGACAGTGGGATTATTTATATTTCGTAAACTAGCCGAAGAAGTCGAGGTTTATCGTTTCGGAATTCAATTCGCAGACTTTCAAAGGAAAAGGGAACACAAGAGCTGATTTTTGTGGGTTTTAAATAGTTTATTACTCTGTCAGTTGCCTTCACGGCATAAAGAAACGTCTGATAGAACGAGTAGCGGTACAGCATCTCTTCATGGAGCTGGTATTCTTGCAATTCAAAGAATTTGTTAGCGTCTTGGTTTCTTGATATTCCATTAGGCCAGTAGCCCAGTTCTCGCTAAGTGCCCCAATAGTGTCATATATTGATTCAGTTGTGCATAGAAGAGAATCAGGAAAAAATTAGATACATTTAACAGCCAAAGAAGTGTACGAAATATGTCGATATATTTTGTCGTGGTTGTACTGTTTGCTAGTTTAGCACCTGTAGATTTATATGTGTGTGATGAATAAACTTCAAGGTTATTGAGGTACATGGCGTTGCAAACAAAAATCTGTAAAATGTTTACATCAGATTCCTGCACGTCCTTCCACTCCCATCCGTCTCAATTCCTCAGGAAATCTGCTGCACAGTTGTTCCTAAACCCATGCTAGATGGGTCCTTTGCATGGCGTGTCCTCAGATTGCGGATGGAGGGAAGCTAAGAATATATTGAATAAGGAGTCGCGGACAGCCGACAAGGGTCGGGTCTCCTGCTTGGGAGTTTGGCATGGGACTAACAACTCCTTACCCTAAAAAATAAGCTTGTTACGAAAATGTTCAAGAAGTCCCGGACCTGGACCGATTCTGTGAATAAACGACCTAAGCGAAAGAAAATGGATATGAGATTTGTTGCTTGGAATGTTAGAAGACAAAGGCGTAGGTGGTTGAATAATATTAAAATGGATCTTAGAGAGATAGGATGGGGTGGTATGGATTTGATTGATCTGGCTCAAGATAGGGACCAGTGGAGTGCTCTTGTGAACACGGTAATGAACCTTCGGGTTCCATAAAATCCTGAGAAGTTCTTGAGTAGCTGCACAACTGGCGGCTTCTCAAGGAGGGCTCAGTTCCACGAGTGAGTTGTTCCTAAACTTCAAGGCATACATTGTTATACACTAACTGCAGACCGGTCTCTGCTAACCACGAGTGGTGTAGGCACTTATGTCCTTCTGGCTTAACCTCTCGGTGAAATTCCTTTTTACTTTGCATGCCACAGGCCAACGATGAACAATATTCTTTTTTTGCACGAGGGCCAATTTAAAGACTTCAGTACCCAGCGCGAACCGCAAACATTGAAATGTCTATTATTTTAAACTTAATTTTACATTAAACTTTTGTGAGACCAGCATTATTAGTACAGATGAACTGAAAAATAGTAATATAATCTTTCAGGTTTTTCGAACATTTAATTGACAGTGTAATTCGCTCCTTGTAGGTTGATTCTTTTTTGTAGTTTGTTTTACGATGTTCCGTTAACCATTGATTGATAGGATGAATGGAAAATAATGATTTCTAAGGAAGCGGTCGTGGCCTGATCGACGTAATAGACTGACTTTTATCGCGCAGGATTGAGGTAAACCACAAATCCCGTATAGCATGAAAGCCGCAAATTTGCCACATAAACCTAATGGATCCGCCGGTGTGTTATAGTGTCTTTTACAGTATTGTGACGTATAGACCCATTGCTGGGAAGCGACTCGGTAAACACATTCCTGCGGAATCAAACGCGCGCAACAGTAGGACGTTCATTGCTAGGCAACGGATCAATAAATACTCCTTAACAACAGATGCCGTTTTCTGTTTGGTACGTGCAAAGTGATTATAAGGAAGGATCTAGTCTCTCCTGAACAACCTGGTTACAGATGAATTATCAGAGGATACTAACCTTATCTGGCGACGTTTCGCTGTCTCTCCCGAGCATGGTTGTACAGCAGCACACTTAGCGCGTGTGTATCTGACAGAATGTTGCAGGTTTCGTCCCCCGTTACTGCCACCTTCCACTCTCACTGCGCGTCTACTCGTGAATGTCTCTCCAGCGCCAAACAAGGGTACAGCAGTGTATCTCGAGGATCTCGAGGTCAGCTGTAAACTTTTACGAGACAGTGGACGACCGACCAGTCAGCAGACAAAATAACACTTACTCGTATATTCCAATTATGAGTAAACAAAACGGAGTTGCGAAACATGGATCTCACTAAATTGTTTGCTTGCTGTAATAATGCAGATTGTTGTCCAGTCGTGTCTGTTTGCTCTGAACTCTGAGATAATTCCTTGTCATTACGTCTCTGAAACCAGTGGCCTTCCTAGGATTTATTTAAGGGAGAAGGTGACGGGTGGGGCACTTGAAAAATTATTAACTCCATAGCGCCAGTTTTTTGAAAAGTTAATAGTCATTATCCTTGTTGATATGTGAATCCTGAAATCGCGTTACCGTGTTTACACCATATCCGGTTTATGTCTTCAGATCCTATTGCTTTAAGATGCATTTTAATATTATTCTCTCGTTTATTCATATTTCTGTCAAGTTTTTTTTCGTTAAGTTTTTCCGACCAAAATTGCGCACACATTCCTCGTTCTATTCATGTACGATTTCTAGGTATCGAAACAGCTCAGTCAATATAGCGATGGAATACGAACTGGATGACCGAGGTTTGATTCCCGACGAGGGACAGCGTTCAGGCCGGCTCTGGGGCCTACTCAGCCTCCTAACCAATAGGTACCAGGGGCGATTTGCCAGAGGTCAAAGCAGACGGGGTTTGAAGCTAGCCACTCACCTCCATCTAGTACCGAGGTCAAGAATGGTGGAGCTATACCTCCACTCCCCCACGTCTTCATAGTATTGTGCATAATTAAGCACAGGGACTTCACTTTTATACCTTCTTTCCCATGTACGTTTGCACCGCTTTCAGCTCATGCAGTTCTAGAAGAATCGCTGAACTTAAATTTTATTTCGTGTTTTAACTTCGTTTGCTTCTTTAAAACTTCAATACTAAACTTAATTAAAATCCGGTCAGTAGTGCCAGATATGAAAAATACACACGTACAGATGGACTGATATAGCCGTGCCTACACATAAGCTTTCGGTCCTGTGGTTCCCGCAGAGAACATACTGCAAGTTACTTTCATATCTAAATAGGACTACATGCTTGTACAGTACGGATGCATTAGTACGACTAGCTCGTTGCGACCTCAGCCCATGTGTTAGAAGTTTTAAGTCCAGTCGACCTTGTCGGCCATATGCAGACTCTTCGGAGAGACACGCATGGCTCGGTTCGTTTCTGAATCCCAGTCACATTCCGCTAGGATAATACATCCATTTATTGTGAAATGTTGCAACCTCAAAATCGATCATGAAATGGCGGAGAAATAAAGCGATTCATATTGCTTACCGCCGATCTTCGTCACCTAAAAACTCGACTAAAACTTGATATTATTTCTACCATGAAAAAGGAGGCTGGGGGCACGCGGTAGCATAGTGGTTGAGGTGCTATGCTGCAAGCCGGAAGGTCGCGGGTTCAAGTCCCGATGAGATGATTGGATTTTTTTCAGTTGACCTAACCCTTCCAGCCACACTAGGCCCTGGTGTTTACTCAGCCTCTAACAGAAAAGAGTACCAGGAATTAATTAAATAATTTTCTTGGGGGAGTAAAATGTGGCCGGCGCGTAAGGCTGACAACCTTACCGCCATCTTTGGGCCGATTGTCTAGATCAGCCGTGTCAAACAAGCGGACCCCATAGCAACAAAATGCGGCCCCTCAACTTTTAGAGCTAATTGATATTAAAATCAATATTAAAATTTTTGTAGAAATATTTTTTGTAAAGACAATATTCCAACAGACCAGAAGACAAGAAGTCTCACGCAGACATAAATTAGCAGGCTGCAGGAAATTCAATGTTTTGCTATTTCTAACATAATTTCTTGTGTAATCTCTCTTTTTACCTATTGAAAAGCTGTTTGATGCTTGTCAAAAATGGCATTCTCTTGCTTTTTAAAACTGTAAGATATGTGACTTTAGGTAATTATATGGAAATTATTCCTAAATAGTACATAGAATTAAATTTCCTTGTATCAAAATCTAATGTATATTTCTATTTTGAAGTGCGGCCCTGGACTATTATTTATAGGGCTGAGGTGGCCCTCTGTACAAGTTGAGTTTGACATGCCTGGTCTAGATAATGTGGGACCCTCAACGTCTAACAACTCTATGGGCCTTCACGGCCTGGTACAGGGATAGATTTACTTTTTACTTTTTTTTATGAGAAAGGAGGCTGCACCTAGAAGACCACACGGTGTCACATCCCCTTATACGACAGTCTGTACATGACAATGAGTTTATAAATATTTTGGGGGTAAAAATTCTTACTTTTTCGCTCCAGCAATTCTGTAGTTAATCATAAAGGCGTCTTTCTTTTTCTTCAGATACTGCTTTGAAATGTCACATGCACGCACTGGGATCGATAAAGCATGAGACAAAGTTCTTGATTGTTACTTAGTCAGTTAGTTAGTTAGTTATTTAGAGAGGGTGGGTATCCCCATGCACCGCGACCAGTTTGATCTATTGTGCTTCCCTCTATGATATTCTACCAGTCTGTTTACCCTACCGATGAATGGTGCGTACCATCAGTCCCGCCGAGCAAGCGAGTTCGGCCACTTGCTTAGCGGTGTCTATAATGCTTCCCCCATCTATCAGAGGCCTTAGAGACTATTGTTGGGCGGGAAACGTCCTGGAATTTGGCTCAGTGATCCCCTTTGGGGATATGAGGTTCTTTTACATGCCGTAAAGTTACGACACGGGACACACAGCTTAAAGTCCCTCCCGGAGGACTTGTTCCCTGAATTTTTCCGTCCTTAAAAATTCGACGACCTCCGCCGGGTATTTGAACCCGCGTACCACGAGTCATGAGGTGGGAACGTTACCTCTAGACTACGGAGGCCGCTTTTGATTGTTACTTACTTACAGTTGTATTAAATGTCTGACATCAGTTTAATAAAGTTTTTGTTTTTGCATTTTTTCAAAGTCGTCAAGACTAACAACTTTCAAAATTATACGATTCATTATCAGTGCTCACGAAATTAGTGCAACAGACATCGCTGGGTAATTGCTGATAAGTTTTCCAGTACTCGGCGTTGGCTCAGCGGTGCGTAAAAGTACAGGCAGATGTCTATCATCGCATTCTTAAATCTGATTTGCATAACTTCATTACGGAAAATTTTTGTTCGCAGTTGTTATGTGGATGCAATAATTGCCATTTTGTGTCCAAAATCTTTGAAAGTTCTGTATCTGGAATCACACAACAGTCCGAAAGAAAAAGAGACTTGACACATTTCACATACTAGAACTTCTTATTTAACTTCTCTATCAGCCTGTAGATCAGTCAATTAGAACTGAAGGTTATCTAGAGTCTTCGTCATCAAAGGCGAAAGGACAAACCAGTAATTGAATTTCGTCATCTGCTTCCTTGAAATCTACGAATATTTATTTGGTTTGCTAACTACGGATGCTGCTGTACTTACCGCCTGTGGTGTAATTCGCGTGTGTTCTTCGCCAAGTATGAAAATGCGTAGAATTATTCTTTCCATAACGCGTAGCCGTTTCTACACTCCGGTTGTGTCGAACCTTACGTGCTATATAGTTCATGTCGAGTTAATAATTTAACGTTACAATTTGGCCTGGCGATGTTCTTATTTTCAAAATAGCCGCATAAATTAATATTATTGACAAAACTCTCAGACTGACGTCGGAGGACGAAATTAAAACGGTGCGGGTCTGATTGGGCCCGTGATCCGTAGTTTGCCTGCTCCTGCTCTGCAATGGGTCTGCAATGATTACTTATGTACAATAAATGAACAAAGGCCCATGGAGTGTGTAAAATAATAAAGAACATATTAGGGTAATAAAGGGGGCACGCGGTAGTGTAGTTGGTTGAGACACTATGCTACAAGCCGGAAGGTTGCGGGTTCAAGTCCCGATGAGGTCATTGGATCTTTTCAATTGACCTAATACTTCCAGCCGCACTATGGGGTCGACTCACCCTCTAACAGAAATGAGTACCAGGAATTAATTAAATAATTTTCCTGGGGATTAAAGCGCGGCCGGCGCGTAAGGCTGACAACCTTACCGCCATCTTTGAGCCGATTGTCTAGATAATGTGGGCCCCTCAACGTCTCATGGCCTGTTACAGGGATAGCTTTACTTACTTCTATTAGGGCAGTAATGGTGTAGACCTTTTCCGTTTTCATTCTGTTACAGAATAAGGACCTCATGACGACAGTAAAACTGACAAACCGGATATGCTACGCATTATGGGAATGGAAACACCGCATCTCGCTTTACTGGAGGTGTAGTAAATTATAAGACTCCTTAATTGTTACGAATCCCATATAAAAGAGAACAGTAATGAGGAAATTTTGAGCATTTAAAGAATGCAAACTTTTAATCAGTGAAGCCCTAGTCTGTGAGAAATTCACAGCTGCGCAGAGTATTGTTCGAACAAATTGTTTCGTGACACGGGGAAGTATATTCAACACAAGAAACCTTTTATGCAGATGTGTCAAATTATCGCTGTAAACGGAAAATGCACATAGACACAATATATTTGGAAACGTACATGACGATTCTATTTAACGAGAACCCTGTGTTATGTTTCGCCAAAATGTCTCTAGCCGTCTCGTACGTGACGTTATTAACATTAAAATGTATACAAAAGTATGCAGCCTACACAACAATATTCTGTATTTGAAACAAAGTAGACACTACCTTATCAATATTTTTTTTTTCATTGACGCGTCAATGTTGATACAATAGTGTCGACTTTGTTTTAAATACAGAATATTGTTGTGTAGGCTGCATACTTTCTATACATTTTATGTACCTTGTTTATAACACACAAAAGGATGCATACTTATTAAGGTAATTAACATTACTTAACATTGGGTTCACGTTTAAAAAATCAGAACCCAACGTTAGGAATATTTCGTCAGAGTGTCCTGTATTGTTTGACATTCGTAACATTGGGTTGTCACTTGCAAAAATCACCATGTGCGCGTAGTATTGAGGTCCTGTTGTAAAACATTGCGTCCGGTACCAAAAGCGTCGTTGACTATTCCAGAAAAACAAGTAAATGTCGAATCGATGTAACAGACGATGGTTATGATCACTGAACTGAGAGGAGCGTGGATGAACGTTGTCGTGGATCAATTTAAGGCGTTGTCCCGTGATTTGCCTGCGAGACTGAGGGATAGACGGCATACCGGCAGAGATTCAAACCGAGTACCTCCAAAATACAAGTCATACGAAGCCTTACCGCTTTCATTGCTTGTGATTTTAATTACAAGACGTAAATACCTTAATTAAACGGGAAACTGAAACTGTTAAATGTTCATGTCCCTTGGCATCCTGTTATAACCAGGGTTCTCTGCGCCGGAAAGTTCATTGATGCAGACGGATAGACACGGTGGCGCTATAGGGCGATTTGCGTTTCATGCAAGACCGAAGACTGTTCGTGCACTGGCTACATTATTGACATCCCCCCCCTCCCCACAATAATAGACGCGCTTATTTGAGCGTGATGCCCCTCATTTATCATAGAAAGACTTAGAATCCCTTCCTGATTGGTGCTTCACGTATAACTTCTAAGGCTGGAGTCACGTTTTCTCTCTCTCTCTATCTATCTATCTCTGTCTGGGGGTACGTATTATCTTACCATATTCAAAGATAAAAATTACAGTGAAAGAGAGCCCTTGACTTCTGTTGTAAATTTGTAATATATTGATGTAGAAATTAACAAAATTTAAAGTCACCATTTGACGAACATTCAGGCGCCACGAAAACACGGCTATTTATCGACTGTTTCAAGAAGAGTAGAATAATGCCGTGGTAGCTAATACTACTAGGAAATATATATAAAAGGACATAATCTGCTGTACCTAGCCTGGACTGACAGAGGCCGTGTATATATTGTACATTTAAATAAGAAATAAGTGTGTATTGTAAATATGTGTACATACAGACAGTGGACTTAGTAATACAGACTGACTAACAAATGACAGACCCGACCTCTCGTCAAAGAGGGCGCTACACATAGACAAGACAGTAACTTTCATTCAAAAGAAATATATGGTCCTGGGGCTCGACACCAAGACAGACAGACTGACTGACCGTCAGTTGCAACGTGACTCTGACTCTGACTCTCACTCTCACTCTGAGTAGAATAAGAATACGCATTCTTACCGGGTCACCGGCACCGCGGCTAGCAGTCACTGTTTACATTTCCTGAAGATTTAAGACTTCTGCACGTAATGCTTTCAGCAAAGAACGATTTTATGGGTCTATCATGTCTGATTATCCATATATTTCTACTTGACGGATTTGAATGAAAATTTGTGTGCGAGATTTAGAGGTGGAAATACGGCAGGTCAAGGATGTTAGTTGCCCGGTCTCATAGTTGAGAAGGGACACATCAGTCACGTTCAAAGAAAGCCCATAAATAAAACATTAATCAATGAATATTTGATTTTTGATTGCATAATCACGTCGAACTTTGTGAAACTTCTTTCCACTACGGTCCGTCTTTATTGCCCAGTCTTCTGCGTACAGCGCCATGTCATACTGGTAAGGAATAAGGATATTTCGGTGCATCCTCCTATGTCATATTTCAATTTCAGTCCAAAAAGAGGAAAAGTCGGGCTCGCCCGAATCGCCGTTAATTTTGTGACCATTATTTCTAAACAATGCTATAGGCCTAATTACCCACAAGGCTCTGCAGTAAACTACGTTCAATTAATGTTACATTGCAGCATCTTCTTGCATGGCATAGACCTTACTTTGCGATTTGCTTTTATGCCCCCGAAACATGTTCTATCAATAAATAAAAACTAGTGAATAGTAACCGAAGTTGCACATAGACGGCATGAAAGCAAAACGCAAAGTCGGATACATTCAATTAGTTATATTGTATTGTATTTATTTGCACGCTCCAACACATCCTTACATGGCCGAAGCCCTTGGATACAGAATCGGTCTCACAACAAGCCTGCTAAGTAGCAGGTAGTCACTAGATGATATATATATACAATAATATTAACATGATATTAACTTAATACCCTTATATGTACTACAATTACATCACATTTACAATATAATTATATTATAATTTAAATATAAATAAATAACATAAACACTCAATAACAATCCTAGTTAAAATATTCATCCAAAGTATAATAAGATTTACGATGTAAAAAGGCATGTAAAGCCACTCTAAATTGCTTAATATCACAGACCAATTCTTTAATCTTCAATGGAAGATGGTTAAAAAGTTTAATGCCAGAATAATAAGGACCTTTCTGGTAAATTGTTAAATTTGCCTGAGGACAATAGA